TCTCACACAGCTGGATGTGGTTTCACTTGGAAGGCTGAAGGGCAGTGGAGAGTATGAATCCATCCTTGCCTTGGCTATGTGGCAAGTCCTTGACTCAAAAACCTAAAAGCAATCCCCACAAACAATAACAAAACAACAGCAGCAAAACTTACACTAATAAAAACTGAGAAGCAGAAAACATACTCTGGGTTTTAAGTTTTCCACCGATTGATTGATTGATTGATTGATTTTGTGTGTGTGTGTGTGTGTGTGTGTGTGTGTGTGTGTATCCCACCACGTGAATGTGGAGGTCAGAGGAGAACTCTCTGAGTTAGCACTCTTCTTCTACTATGTGGGTCCCAGGGACGGAACTTAGTCAATCAGCTTGATGGAAAGCATCTTTACCCACTGAGTTATCTCTCCAGAACCATATATATTCATTTCTTTTCTTTCTTTCTTTCTTTCTTTCTTTCTTTCTTTCTTTCTTTCTTTCTTTCTTTCTTTCTTTCTTTCTTTCTTTTTTTTCTGAAACAGGGTTTCTCCATGTAGTTTAGGTGCCTGTCCTGGATCTCGCTCTGTAGACCAGGCTGGCCTCGAACTCACAGAGACCCGCTTTGCTCTGCCTCCCGAGTGCTGGGATTAAAGGCGTGCAACACCACTGCCCGGCATATATTCATTTCTATAACCAAGCACAGTTGTGCCAGTAGTGCAAGCCTCTAATCCCAGATTCTCAGGAGTCAGAGGCAGGAGGATTGAAAATTCCAGATGCCAGGAGATGCTGTCTCAAAAACTAGAAACAAACAAAGCAACAAAACCCTTCACATCAGTGAAACCATAGATGGCACAAAAAACTTTAAATTTGTGTCTGCAGCCAGAGGCAATGTTACCTGTTTGTTATCTCAGCTCACAGAAGGCTGAGGCAGGAGGATAGAAAAATCAAGCCCAGCCTGGGCTACACAGTGACACTTTGTCATAAAATAAAACAGGGGAAGCTGAAGAAACGGCTCAGTGGTTAAGAGCACTGGTTGCTCTTCCAGAGGACCCGGGTTCAGTTCTCAGCACCTACGTGGCAGCTCACAACTGTCTGTAACTCCAGTTCCACAGCTTCTGACACTTTTACACAGATACATGCAGACAAAACACCAGTGCACATAAAATAAATAAATAAATCATTTTTTTTTTTGCAACTTAGTGGTAGCATGATAGCACCCGAGGCCCTGTGTTCAACCCCTAGAAATACTCCCAAAGGATAAATCGACAATATTATCGCTTCAGCATATGACCAATACGATTAAGAGATGGGGCAAACAATATCATTTATATTTAAGTTATATTGAGATGTCTTATATTTTGTAAGGGGGTTCTAAATCTTCTAACCCCAGTATATATTTAACACTGCACATGTCAAGACCCCTAGACTCATTCTGAGTGTTCAGTAGCCCACAAGTGGTGTTATGGATAAATTATACTTTCACCACACCAATACTCAGTCATTCCAAAGTGACCTTAGTCATCACAGATGTAATTAGTTACAGTGGAGTGGGAGCCCACTAGTAGGTCTCTATTAGAAGCTGAGTGTAGAGTGGACCTCCAATCTAGTACGACCTTATAAAAAGGAACAATTTGTCCAGGGGTGGAGCTGCATGGGGGTGTTTGCCTATCATACACGAGGCCCTGGGCTCTGTGTCTAGCACTGCAGAAAGGGGACAATCTGGACACAGGGGGAGCCACCACCCCATGAAGATGTAGGCTGAAGTTGGGATGACGCCTCCACAAACAGATTACAGTAAACTGTCGGCAGCTGGGGAAAGGTGGAGGCTGGGTCCTCCCTTCTAGTCCTTCAAGGAACTAACTGTTGACTTCTTGATCTTCGACTTCCAGGCTCTAGAGCCTCGAGAGGATAAACTCATGTTGTTTGAGCCACTCAAGTTGGGAACTTCGTCCCACAGCCTTGGTGCAGGGATGAGTGGCTGCCACATTGACTCCTGCAGGTTGCCTCTTGACTCTTCCCGCCTAGGAATCAAGAAAAGAGCTCAGGTCTCCCATTTCTCAGGGCCACCCAGCAGCAAAAACAGGACTGGAACCCAGGCAGGTGGAACAGGGCCAGGCCGTTTTCTACCACGCTGTCTTTCTGCCTGCCTGAGTCCCGTGTTGCAGGTGGCCCTCCAGTCCTTCCCTGAGCCTATAGTAGGTCATGACACCGCACACATTAGCTGCTGTTGGCATGGAGGGCATTTCACCATCTGGGCCAGTGGTTTGGAGAGCAGATGATTCCCTGTCCTGCTTGTTTTTGTTTTTTGTTTTTGTCAACTTAACACAAACCTAGATATATCTATAAAGAAGGAATCTCAATTGAGAAAATGCATCAAATAGATTAGGTGTAGGTAAGTCTGTGGAGACTTTACTTTTTTTCCTTCTTTCCTTTCCTTTCCATTTTTTTAAAGCTCAGCTTTACTTGGATCCAAAGTGTCAAAATGGGGGGCACTTTTAAAAATTTATTTATTTTTAGTGTATGTACATTGATGTTTTGCCTGCATGTATGTCTGTGTGAGGGTGTCAGATCTTGGAGTTATAGACAGTTGTGAGCTACCATGTGGTACAGGGAATTGAATCCGGGTCCTCCAGAAGAGCAGTCAGTGCTCTTAACCGCTGAGCCATCTCTCTAGCCACTTGGGGGGCAATTTCTTGATTGATGATTGACATAGGAAGGCACAGATCACTGTGGGCAGTGCTGCCCTGGGCTGGTGGTCCTGGGTTCTATAAGAAAGCAGGCTGAGCAAGAAGCCATGGGTAACGAGCCAGTAAGCAGTACCCCTCCATGGCCTCTGCTTCTGTTCTAGTCATCACGTTCCTGCCTTGAGTTCCTGCCCTGACTTCCCTCAGTGATGGACTGTGACCTGAGAGTTGTATGATGAAATAAACACTTTCCTCTCAAGTTGCTTTGGTCATGGTGTCTATCACAGTAACAGAAACCTGACTACAGCACTTCATCCTCCATTATGTCCTTGTCTCTCCCTGCCTTGTGCCTGGAGTTCAGCCTGCCCCAGGAGCCGAGAAGCTAGATACTGGTGTGGTCATGATGTGACCCACATCCCACACCCATGGCAGGCTCGCAGGTGTTCCTGAAGTTACTGCCTCTTTCATGGGTCACAGGTGTTCCTCTGGCAGCTTCAGCTAAAGCAGGTGACCTGCCAAGAGAAGGAAATGCTTTGGGATACAGGGTCCTGGCATCATGACGAGTGACAAGGGGCTTCCCAGGACCTCCTTTGCTCCACCCCTACACCATAATTATTTTGGTCTTGACCCTCAGACTCCTGGCTAGACAGATGTCACTGGATGTCCTTCCGGACATGTAGGCCTTAGTTTGTTGATGCTGGAAGACTAGTTTGGACAGAGACTCACCTGGCACAGAACCTAGTAAGTGGCCTCATATCTTGGCCTACCTGGGAAGTAGAAATTTGGCTCCCAGGTTGCTAGGGATCAACCCCTATCCATTCAAGAGTGACCCCAAAGAAAGGTATGGCCTGGTGCACCCCTCACATCCTACTCTTCAGGAAGGAAGATGACGGTAGAGGTGGGGCAGGGAGGTGGAGAAGGGTGAGCAAGGGTTACCTGACTAACTGCTCTTGAGACCCAGGATCAGAAAAGGAGTGGGTTAGTCGGGGCCCTGAGGCCACCTTTGGACTTCTGTCTCATTTCTTCAACAAGCTAAGAGGTCTCCAGCCCTTCCCATGATGCAGTGTTGGGTGAGGAGAATATGGGGCTATAGATCATTCCTATTGCTTCCGCCTAGCTGAGGGCCTTTGCACATGCTCTTCTCTCTACTTGAATGCTCCTCTCACCTCTTTCCACACAACGCCAAGGTATGCCTCTTTGGACAGAGGTTGCTGTGTCTTTTGCAGAAATTGTTCCCATTGCACATTTCTTTCCATGACTGTTTCTCTGTCTTAAGGTCTGGCTCAGGAAGCATGGGCATCTCTGAACTAATCTCCTGGTGTTACACACGTGCGGGCTGAGCTTCAGAAGTTAGGAGCGATGAGTCAAGGTATGAACTCTTGCCTTGTCTGTAACCTAAATCCTACATCCTTGACTGCCACCTACCTAGGCTGTTGAAAGATAAACTCCTTAGTTGAGATCCAAGCATGACCACTAAACTAGGGAGTTCCAGACTGGTTCTTGGATGAGATGGTGTTGAGTTGAGCCTCTTGGGTGGAAATGGTAAGAGCACATTCTAGGTGAGGGAGAGCAGCCAAAGAAAGTCACAAAGATGATAAAGAAGTGGGGAGCTGTGAGGTCATAGGGCTCAAAGAGATTGAGGTCAGGTCACCAAGGAACTTCAGGTCCTGACATTGGGCCATCTCTTCTGAGCTGGCTAGTTTTATGTCAGCTTGACACAAGCTAGAGTTATCAGATGGGAGGGAACCTCAATTGAGAAAGTGCTTCTATAAGATTGGGCTGTAGGCAAGCCTGTAGGCATTTTCTTAATTAGTGATTGATGTGGGAGGGCCCAACCCTTTGAGTCCTAATTGTCCTGGGTTCTAAAAGAAAGCAAGCTGAGCAAGCTATGGGGAGCAAGTCAACAAGCAGCACCCCTCCATGGCCTCTGCATTAGCTCCTGCCTTCAGGTTCCTGCCCTGTTTGAGTTCCTGTCCTGACTTCCTTCACTAATGGACTACAATGTGCAAGTGTAAGCCAAATCAATAAACCCTTTCCTCCCCAACTTGTTTTTAGTCATGGTGTTTTGTCACAGCAGTGCTAGCCATAACTAAGACACCTTCTCAGAGGAAGAGACCAATACTATTCTAACTGTGCCAGGAAGATAACCAAATGCGGAAAATGACCTGGAGGTGATGGATGTTGAGAGTAGAGAACCAAGTTGGGAGGTTGTTGTAAAAATTCACGGTGCAGGGGTGTGGGAGAGAACCTCATAGAAGCCATTAGGAATCAGAGAGACATTGCATCTCACTTCTACCCTATACTGGAGCTCTGTTGGTGGCCAGTTTAATTATGGACTATCAAAGGCCAGCAATTGCCTGTATCTTGATCAAAGGGAATGATATATTTAATTACCAACTCATTCTAGATGATTCTTTTGAGCATGTCTGTCTTAGAGTTTCTATTACTGTGATGAAACACCATGACCAAAAAGCAAGATGGGGAGAAAAGGGTTTATTTGGCTTACATTTCCACATCACTGTTCATCACTGAAGGAAATCAGGGCAGGAACTCACACAAGGCAGGAACCTGGAGGCAGGAACTGTAGATGTAACCAACTGTCTCATTAAATAAGAAACACAGAACCAATGTAAAGAAGAAAGCCAAGAGGTCAGAGCTCAGAGCTAAAACCTTACCCTTCCTCCTGCGATGGTCCTATCTCTCTGAAAGAGACCTACTTCCTGTGTGTTTGCCTTTATATAGTCTTTCTGTTCTGCCTGTTCATTAGTTGTAAACCCAAACACATGACTGCCTCGTCACTGCCTGTATGTACAGCCCTCCAGGTCTTCTATGGTATTGAGATTAAAGTCATGTGTCTCCAATGCTGGCTGTATCTTTGACCACACAGAGATCTACCTAGCTCTTCTACCAAGTGCTGGGATTAAAGGCATGTGCCAAGAATGCCCAGCTCTGCTATGGTTTGCTATTAGCTCTGACCTCCAAGCAACTTTATTTAGTAACATACAATTAAAATCACATTTCAGTACAAATAAAATACCACCATAAGGAACTGATGCAGAAGCCATGGAAGAATGCTGCTTACTGGCTTGCTCCTCATGGCTTTCTCAACCTGCTTTTTTGTAGAACCCAAGACTGCAGACCCAGGGTTGGCACCACTCACCATCAATCAATGGGCTGTGCCATCCCCATCAATCACTAAGAAAATGCCCTACAGCTGAATCTTATGGAGGGATTTTCTTAATTGAGGTTACCTCCTCTCAGATGACTCCATCTTGTTCAAGTTGACATAAAACACAATGACAAATACATAGTGCATAATAACACTCCAAAGCAGGAGGATTTTAAGCCCTAGAGTAGCCTGTGCTACACAGGGAGACTTTGCCTAAAAAAAAATAAATTTATTACATATACAAGGACAGTACCATTGATGATATCACAGTAACACTGTATTGTTACTTAATTACACTCTGTGCTGCCCACTCAAGGGAATCACTGAAGGACACATTTCTCAGGGTGAGTCTATCTTGTTATCAGAAATCCCACACCCCCATTGTCAACTTGACTGGATTTGGAATCCCTGAAATGCCACATCTCTGGTGTTATCTGTGAAGAGGTTTCGTGTGTGTGTGTGTGTGTGTGTGTGTGTGTGTGTGTGTATGTGTGTGTGGGTTCAAGTGTGTGTGGGTTCAAGTGTATTGTGTGCCCATGTGTGTGGAGGCTGGAGACTAGTGTTGAGTGTCTTCCTCAATCACTCCACCTTATTTTTGGAGACAGGGTCTCTCACTGAACCTGAAGCTCTCCAATTCAGCTAGACTGATTGGCCAGCAAACCTCAACAACCCTCCTGTCTCTGTCAGGTTTGCACTGTGCTTGGCTTTTATGTGGGTGCTGGGGATTCTCACACAGGTCCTCGTGCGTGTGCAGCAAGCATCTTCACCCACTGAGCCGTCCCCCCAGTCCTGGGAACACTAGTCTTGATTGTGAATACATAGGGAGGGTAAATAAAAGGTCACTTCCCACTGCGCATGCTGCACACCTCTAATCCCAGCACTCGGTAACTAGCGACAGGTGGATCATGAGCTGAAGGCCATTCTTGGCCACATAGTGAGTGTTGTGGGATCTTTGATTGAACTGTGACATTCCTAGACTGTTAATAAAGTTTACCTTGAATCAGGGGGTGGAGCCAATGACTAGCTGACTAGAATTAGCCATAGAGAAGCCAGGAATTTGAGTAGAGAATACACACAGGAAGGAAAGGGCAGGACTAGTCTGGCCCTTCTTTTGGTTTGGGGATGAGTGAAGAGAAATGTTCTCTTGCTGTGTCTCTGACCAAAAAGTCAAGTCAGCTGATTGCTTCTTGGCTTCCCTGATCTAGCAGGTTTTCACCCCCACATCTGACTTCTGAGTCTTTCTTGGTAATCGGAACAATAGAGACTTAGTTTAAACCTATATATCTCTGGGGCCATGTGTTGCTGGAGGGCTTCTCTCCAGGTTCCCCAAGACCCGCAGTCCCACAATCCATTTATAAAATAATCACTCAGACGCTTATATCACTTATAAACTGTATGGCCGTGGCAGGCTTCTTACTAACTGTTCTTTTATTTTATTTT